GGGTGGGTGGCTGTGTGCCGTGCCAGGTGGAGGGTCTCCTAGCTGGGTGCTGGCAGGCTTGCACCTGGCACGGCCACCGTAGCCAGCCCGTGCCCCTTTAAGGGGTCCGGGGCCGGGATGGGGGCAATAGAGTTTCCCTGGTGTTGTCCAGAGTGGCCACCAAGGAAACCTGGGGAGGGCTAGCCTCCCACTAGTTTGAATTAAGGGTCTACACAGCCCTTAATTCGAACTAGTAAGTTTGAACTAGGCTTAATCCTCGTGGAATGAGGATTACCTAGTTCGAACTAAGCGCTCCGTTACTTCGAATTTAATTCGAACTAACAGAGCGCTAGTGTAGCGCCTATGAAAGTTAGTTCGAACTAACTTTGTAGTGTAGACATACCCTAGTATACTTAGATTTTCAGAAAGCCTTTGACAAAGTCCCTCACCAAAGGCTCTTGTGTAAATTACATTGTCATGGGATAAGAGGGAAGGTCCTTTCATGGATTGAGAACTGGTTAAAAGACAGGAAACAAAGGGTAGAAATAAATGGTAAATTTTCAGAATGGAGAGGGGTAACTAGTGATGTCCCCTAAAGGTCAGTCCTAGGACCAGTCCTATTCAACTTATTCATAAATGATCTAGAGAAAGGGGCAAACAGTGAGGTAGTAAAGTTTGTGGATAATAAATGGTAAATTTTCAGAATGGAGAGGGGTAACCTAGTAGTGTCTTCCAAGGGTCAGTCCTAGGACCAATCCTATTCAACTTATTCATAAATGATCTAGAGAAAGGGGCAAACAGTGAGGTAGTAAAGTTTGTGGATGATACTAAACTGTTCAAGGTAGTCAAGACAGAAGCAGACAGTGAAGAACTTCAAAAAGATCTCACAAAACTGAGTGACTGGGCAACAAAATGGCAAATGAAGTTTAATGTGGATAAGTGTAATGCATGTTGGAAAAAATAACCCCAACTATACATATAATATGATGGGGGCTAATTTGGCTACGACAAATCGGGAAAGAGATCTTGGAGTTATCATGGATAGTTCTCTGAAAACTTCCACACAGTGTGCAGCGGCGGTCAAAAAGGCAAATAGAATGTTAGGAATTATTAAGAAAGGGATAGAAAATAAGAGACAGAATATCTTACTGCCCCTGTATAAAACTATGGTACGCTCACATCTTGAGTACTGTGGACAGATGTGGTCTCCTCACCTCAAAAAAGATATTTTGGCCTTGGAAAGGGTTCAGAAAAGGGCAACTAAAATGATCAGGGGTTTGGAACAGGACCCATATGAGGAGAGGCTAAAGCGACTGGGACTTTTCAGTTTGGAAAAGAGGAGACTAAGGGGGGATCTGATAGAGATATATAAAATCATGAGTGGTGTAGAGAGAGTGAATAAAGAAAAGTTAGTCATTAGTTCCCATAATATAAGGACTAGATTGACACCAAATGAAATTAATGGGTAGCAGGTTTAAAACTAATAAACGAAAGTTCTTCACACAGTGCATAGTCAACCTGTGGAACTCCCTGCTAGAGGAGGCTGTGAAGGCTAGAACTCTAACAGAGTTTAAAGAGAAGCTAGATACATTCATGGAGATTAAGTCCATAAAAGGCTATTAGCCAGGTAGGAATGGTGTCCCTGGCCTCTGTCAGAGGCTGGAGATGGATGACATGAGACAAATCGCTTGATCATTGTCTTTGGTCCACCCCCTCTGGGGCACCTGGCGCTGGCCACTGTTGGCAGACGGGCTACTGGGCTAGATGGACCTTTGGCTCTTCGCATTTTTTTCCGCTGCTGTTTCGTTTAATGGGTTGGCCACCCCTGACCTAGTGGCTTTAGTCAGATTTGTAACATTGTACATTGTCCATGAAGATCTTCCACCCGATAGTTAATCCTGAAAATTGGATGCATAAATTGGAAACAGTATTTGTTTACTTGGATACAGGCATTCTCATTGCCAGCAAATCTTACTGTAAATGACTTTTCCTCCTTGTAATTAATGTCCGGAGTGCACTCCATTATTACGGAGTAGTACTTGGCTTTGCTAAGTCACATCAATATTTTACCAAGTACCTTCCTTGCATAAGGTCAATCAGTTCATTTTGAATTATCACTGCAATAATGGGCCATAGCTTTTTTACAAATTACTCAACGTAGGTGATCACACATGACATTGTATTTCCCAAGGAGCTCTACTGAACTGAGGAAATTATCATTGTTCCATTAACTTATCTATTAAATCCTGAAAAGTCTTCCATGCAAAGAATAATAAGAGGGTAATTGAGATCACCCTCTCAAGCATGTTCCTCCAGTGCTGAATTTCAACATTATAATAGTGCACTCATTATTCTGCATGTGTGCAACCTGATACCTCCCAAACCTGGCAATCAATGCATGGAGCTGATCCCAGGCTTCACATGGTATTTCAAAGCGGCAGCGCAGCATGGAGCCTGTGGTCAGCTTCTACTTTGAAATGCACAAGAGCCCCCACTGGGGACTCGTGTACATTTCAAAGCTGGCACACCGCGTGCAGCCCAGAGCCAGTGGGACTTCCAGCTGGCCCTGGGCTGCACGTGGAGTTCCTCATTCCTCCTTTGAAATGTCAGTGGAGGCTCGTGTTCATTTCAAAGCCGGAATATGGAAGTGCTTGTCGACTAGTCAATTACTCGATATTTAACATCCTTATTAGCTGTATTAGGATTGGGATAATACAATGGTTCCCAAACTGTTTCATACTGTGGACTGGCAAACTCATTGAAAAATATTTGGCAGACAGGCACTGAAACTTTTTCAGATTCACCATGGTAATTTATTTGCATATTTATTGTGGTAACTCATTTTAAGGAGTTGTGTTGTTCTACCTTGCATCTGTACACTAACAATATATATCTTGTAACAGTTTTTTAAAAGTATTATTCTTCCCCCCCAAAGTAGTATTCAAGAATTACAAAACATCACTAAAAATATGGACAATGCTTTCTTTTCATAAAACATTAATGACAGCGCAGGATGGGGCAGTAGGCTTTTAACCCTCATGTCAGCAGCATTCAGCCAGGGAAAAAATGAAACTGCGGCATGCATAAATGAGTGACAGCTTTGTGGATCCTTGGCTAACAGGGCTGGGGTTGTCGTGGACTTTATCAGAGGAATAAAGATGATGAATTCTTGAATTGTAATGCCAATATAATAAGGAGCTCTTCAAATATATAAAATGCACATGTTGGGATAAGAAAAGTAAATGTATAGTGCATGTCAAAATCAAGGAAGTGACTTGCTTTTTGGATTCCTGGAACCCTGATTTCCCTGGCTTTCTATGCATGAGAAGCCCCCAAGAAGGATTAAACTCCCAGGGCTCAGCTCAGCTGAGCGGCAGCAGGTTCCTTCATGTGCATGCTGGCAGGGAGCATCTGGAGGCCGGGGGAGGCTCCCAATGAGTGGGGAGGGAGGAGGGAACTGCCTGACAGTGCCAGTGCAGGAGGAAGGAGAATAGGCTCTCTGGGACAGCTGCCCTCCACATGGTACTTGGCCCTGGCTGAGCGCCTCAACTACCCATCATGTGGCCCCGCCAGCTGGGCTGCATAGCGGCTCCGCTGCCGGTCACGTGGCCATCCAGCTGGGCTGTGTAGCAGCTGCCAAAGCTGGAACTTGGGCGATGGTGAGACTAACCCAGTAGGGACAGTAGGCACAGCCTCACTGCAGCCTTGGCTGCCTGCTGTGCCACTCACGCTGCTGCAGAATGGGGAAGAGGGCAGTCAGAGAATTTTTTGTGCGTGTGAAGGCAGCAGCTTATGGGGAACCCAGTGGACGGGTCTCATTAGCAGCTGGGGGCGTGGCGTGGCAGTGTGCTGCAGCCTGTCAGGCAGGGGGTTAACAGCCTGCCGCCGGTCCACAGACCAGCTCTTGGGAACCGCTGGGGTAATATATTGCTTTACTAGCTTAGTAAACTTATTTGAAACAAACTAGCTTAGAAAATGGAAATAGTGACATTTAAAAAAAAATCTAGCAAACTATTCAACTATGTAATTTTTTTCCAGGTCGGTCCCCAAGGACAAGTTGTAGGAATTGATCATATCAAAGAGTTAGTAGATGACTCGATAAATAATGTCAAAAAGGATGATCCTACATTGCTGTCTTCAGGAAGAGTGAAACTAATTGGTGAGTATCAACGACTTTGATATTAAAAGCTGACTGCAAATGACCTCAATTTGGAAACCTAATTGGTTTTGTTTCTTTGAGGAGGATTTTCAAAGATACAAAGAATTAGGTACCCAACAACAGCTGAAGATCTGATTCACCCTTTAGGCCTTTGAAAATCTCTCCCTTCCCTTTTTATGACCTTTATTTTCTAGCATTTTAAAAAAAGACTGAATGCACTTCTCTGACATAATAGTGTATGTAGTAAAACATAACTGAACAAGAATTAATTAAAATGTTAATGCTTTTTAAAATCAGACCTGCATTGACAGCTTTCTTATATTTGTGAGAATGAACTTGGTTACAAAATTAGAGCTTTATAGTATCGGCACTCTGTGCGTGTACATTAATAGTTGAAAGTCTTACTGGCATGAAGTTGCAAAAGTGAAAATTACTAAAATAGTAAAGTGCACTAATTGAATTAATCAGCTTACCTAGTTCTTAAAATGTACTACCAGTGTCTATATTTTGGTAATATAAATGGAAACCAAGGCAGTATAATTAAATCAGTGTTGGTGAGGGAAGAATGCTCCGTCATAATAATTACTAAACTAAAATGCAATTTGTTGGTGTATTTTAAGTGGTTTGGTGCTGGATCACTAGGTGCTTCTGTGAAAATAATAATAATAATGATAAAATTTTGCTAGCAAACTATTCTGTCTTATACTTGGTTCCAATGGTTGAGGTGCTCTCCAAAAATTCTGACTTTTGTTTCTCTTGTCCAAAAAGTGTGGATATTCCAGATCTTTTCTAAACTAGAGAAATTATGTGCTCATCACAATATAGGTTGCCCTGTGACCGCGTGCCTATGAATACACGTTGCTTCCATGTACAAGTACTTCCCATGGTGCACTACCACTTCATTTAGATATTCTTTGACCGAGGTTCGTTGTGGTGTTAACCTTCACCATCTTAATCTGGTCAATGCCAGAGTGCACAGATATCATTTTTGTAATAGCCTTCAGAGTGCAAATAGTTTTCCTATTGCTATCATAGAGTGCATTAGTTGCTGTGTAGGCAGCTTATCTGGTCTGTTTTCTGCACTCCATTGCACAGGTGTCGTGGTCCCTGAAACTCTCACAACTGAGTATAGCAGTATACTACCTGGTGCAGCTCAGCTGTGTGTTTTCACAGCATCCAGCATCTTTTGTTTCTGCACTTTTGTTCTGTCACCAGAATATATCGTAAGACAACTATCCTACTAATGTGCTGCTAGGTATGCCAAAGCCATTGGCAGGATCTAGGGGCCATCTCTTAAAATATAAGGCCATCTGAACTGTCATATGTAAGTCCATAATTAGTGATCAAATGGCTGGCTGTGATGGATAGTGCCATGAGACAGTAAAAGTACTGATGGCCTATAATGAACCCCAAGACGACAATAATAACTCAGGGTAGAAAATGTGCCCATTGCGTGATAATCTGGCCCCACTATTTTGGCTTTTGCCAACTAGCTAGTCCATTAGTCCATTTTGTTACAGATAGAACAAGTACAGCAAGTCTTGGCAGTTAGATTGTTAGGGATATGGGGAAACAGTGATTCTGTGAACTGGATGAACTAAAAAAAGTGCCAGGTCAGGAAATAGTGTATCAAACACTCGAATTTTGGAATCTCTTTGGGTGGGAGTCAGGACCCTGAGAAGGTCATGGATACAGTAGAAAAGATGACATTTGGTTACATTGTCATGAGCTCAGAAAACTGGATAGTTAGGACTTGTGGACTATCTTGCACTCTTCTTCACAACTACCTTAGGTACCTCATGAATGCTCATCAAAAGCTCCAAAAGAAATGCTTCTTGCTGAGCAAGGAACAAGAGCTAAGTGTTTAACTTGGCTACAGAAGGACTTAGAAATGATGCCAGTATTGCCAGGGGACTTTTAAGATTCTCACATTTTGAATTTGACCTTGACTCACCACAATTTCCACAGGACTTTCAGAAGGCCTTTTTGAAATCTCTTAAGGTCTGTGCTGTGAATCACAGGATAGGCACCCAGGGAGCATCACAACTGCATATAGTTTTAGTGTAGAAACAAGGCAGAATTTCTACTTTCATGTACCTAAAACGGAACAGCTAGTGTAGAGATGATGTAGTTACTTATAGCAGTTGAAGTCTTTAGTATAGACAAGACCCCAAATAGCTAACCTAAATTGAATATTCAAGTAGGAGCCTGGGTGAAGTGGAGGTTGGTGTGAGGGTAATAGTTTTTTCTGTAAAATGTTTGTAGTTGAAAGGCATGTTTCATCCTTCAAAAACCTTTAATATTCTCCTTCTAGGAGGCTTCGCATTATCAGAGGTCTAGATTGCCTGATAGAAGTTGCTAAGTGACATGAGAGTCATTTTCTTTTCCTCCAAGCAAACCGAGCACATTTCTTCTGCAGAGTTTTCAGGTGCTCCAGCCCAGAGACTGAGCACAGACAGGAACTTGTGTTTCCCATTGAATTAGGGAGTCAGGCAAATCCTGGTTAATTTCTGTACTCATATTGAATACTTGTAGATGTTGACTGCAAAAGTCCAAATGTTTCTAAATTTTTTTGGGAAGTAACATTTATAGATGTTCTATTTTGCTGCTTAAATAAAAAACCGTATTTAAAATACCAGTTGCAAATCCAAATATCCATATTTGAAACATTAGTTGTTCCTAAGGAAAATGTCATTCCTTTTGAATAGAAGGAGAAACATGATTAATAAAATGATGGTACACACAAATAGTAGAAAATAAAAAACTTGTATCATATTCTCTATAGCCTGAATGCTGCTTATTTTGTATTGTATCACAACCAGTTAACTTCCTTGAGCAAATGAATTACTTTCTTAAAATTAACCTCTCATGGTTTCAAGTGTTTAAAAAAAGTTCTTCAGTTACTGTTATGTATATTTTCTTCATTGATTGAAGTTACTATTAGGGATGTGAATGGTTAACTGGTTATGGTTAACCAGCGGTGGCTGGAGCATCCCCCTGCCCAGCTGGAGGGGCTCCTGCTGTAAATGGGAACTGCCACAGGTGAGTGTGGGCAAGGAACTCCATCCTAGCCAGAAGGGGCCAGCTCCAGCGCAGCAGGGAAGGTCTGCTCTAGTCCATTGGCAGGCCTCTGCCTATGACAGGGTGAGGGGAGGAACTGCTCCTACCCAGCTTACCCCATTTTAAACAGTTAACTGACTAAACATAACGTGTAACCGGTTAACTGATTAAACAGAATTTTACATCCCTGCTTACTACATGTGTAACTACAGTTAAATGCTTCATATTAAAGTGACTTGTCACATATTCTTATCACAGTTCAGTTAAAATGGAAGTTAGCCGCTTATTTGAAGCTTAGTATAAGTTGAAAAATGTTAACCAGCTGTTGCACATCCCTAGTAAGAGTTGAAAGGTTTTTCTTTCTTGCAGTGGGAGATGGAAGAATGGGCTATCCAGAAGAAGCTCCCTATGATGCTATTCATGTAGGAGCTGCAGCACCAGTTGTGCCCCAAGCAGTAAGCCTTTTTATGTTTTTGAGTGTGTCATTGATTAGTTAGCTTCGTAATTAAAATGCTGGCAGTTTTACAATGAAATCTTTGTTATCCGGCTTTCTGTAAAACAGAAAACTTTAACTGGCATTTCCCTCCGCCACAACACTGTCACATCTTCAGGTGCACAGGCCTGGTGTGGTTTACCATAATTGGCTTAACAATTTTTATTTAAGAAGCATTAATCATCTTTAACTCAAAATAGAAATGTGAGACCAATTGCCTCACACTACAAAACTACCAATATTAAAATCCTGAGTTTTACTATTACTGTCCATTGGTTTTTCCTAGATTGATGGTACCCTCAGATAACTGGAACGCCCTAACCCTCAAGCGTGCCGGATAACACAGGTTTTACTGTATATAGTTGGGATATCCATAGGCACAGACTCTTTTAAAAAAAAACAAAAACCTTTCATTAGACTTCCAGTCCGTATGAAAATGTTGCCTGATGTTACACTTTTTCCCTAAATAAGAATATTTAACAATGGTTTACACATATTGTTTTGTTGTTGTTATTTTTGTTTGGAACTCTTTGGCTAAATAAACTAATAGAATCCCTTGTTTTTTATCAACTGTTAGTGAATAAAGTATAAATACTTTCCTCATTCCTTGCTTCTTGGGTTGGAAAGGATTGGAAGTGTTATGCAGAGTAATGTGCTTTTGCCATTGTTGGTAAAAGAGAGTGACTGAGTAAAATTTATTATCTTAAAAACATGTCTCATTAGTTCTTGCAAGAAATGATGGTGGACAATGCACAGACTTAAGCAAGTATAAATGGTGGGAATTAGGGTTCTGAAAGGGAAACTTCTTTTTCTCCCTTTCCTCCAAGAGAGTGGTGAGATGTGGCACAGTTAAACACTGATCTAATGTGACCTTCAGAAAGGTAGTGGCATGGTAAATTATAATTGAAAATCCCTGTAAACTTCAGTAAATGATGTTGTGGAACTGTGACTGCATTTTAGGATGTTGTGGGGTGATTAGCCGTCACCAGTTACTTTTGCAATGGAAAGCAATAGGTGTTGGCAGGTGAAAATCTTAATTTTTTTTTAACCTTACTCAACAGTGAAACTATAACAAAAAATACATAGTCTTAACAGGTTAGTAAAATGCTTCCTTTCGACTTTGTAAAAAACCTTTTCTTTCCATAATGTCACAATGTAACTTAGACACTTGATCCCTATTGCCGTTTCTGCTAGAAACCTATTTTGCTCATAAAAGAGACTGAAAACCTAGGAAGAGTTATTCCTACTCCAGGCAATTCCCTTTCTTACCTACCATCAGATAAATTGTATCTTTGGTTAGATGTTTCATTAGTGACCATAACACATTCCCTCAGCATTGAAAGAGGTGGCTCTTTATGGGAAAAGGCAAGAATTGCCAAGTACAGGCAGTCCCCGGGTTACATACAAGATAGGGACTGTAGGTTTGTTCTTAAGTTGAATCTGTATGTAAGTCGGAACTGACGTCCAGATTCAGCCGCTGCTGAAACTGACCGCCAGTTCTGACTTACATACAGATTCAACTTAAGAACCCCAGGCGTCCCCAAGTCAACTGCTGCTGAAACTGATCAGCAGCTGATTCCAGGAAGCCCGGGGCAGAGCAACTCTGCCTCGGGCTTCCTGTAGTCAGCCGCTGGTCAGTTTCAGCAGCGGGCGGATCTGGGCGCCCGGTCC